AAATGTTAAAAATTCTGGGATGGTGGACACATGACCTAACGTGCATTGGTTCACAGTGTGGGGAGGTTCACTGATGGGTTCCCCTTATTGGGTTGAAACAACCATCTGTTGAGAGACGTTCGAGTAGTTCAGGCTTGGCTCATTTTGCGCTATTGAACTCGATGTAGCGACTTCTATTCAGGAACTGACAACGTCAGAACCTGTACCTATGGGCTGAGTTCAGATTATTGTAGTGACTGGGGATGATGAAACAATTATAGCACTAGAGGAGGAGACATCAGCTCTCTTGGACTGAGTCTCACCTGCCCTCTTATTTGGTTTAGTCACTCTCAGACCCTTACTTCCACTCGGTTTAGAAGTTCTCTGGGTAGACACAGTTGGGTTTGACTGCGTCGTAGGAACAGAAGAGATACTAACCTTGTATTCATGAATGTGAGGATCATTTGGAGCAGCAAGGCTTCTCATCAGGAATGGGCATGGGTTGCATCTCAACAGTGTTCTCATAGTTCTTGTAGTAGATTAACTGAAGAATCTCTTGCAGCTATGTTGATGGTCTTTGTGGTATGCTGGCATCTTCTTTCATGAAATGGTCGATCAGAATGCAGAACCAACGTACATATGGGATGTACTTGGTCTTCTTATTTGATGTCCGGGTGCTCAATTGCTCTAAAATTTCCAGCCAGATGAGCTATGCCCAATCATAATTGTTTGAAAACATAACTCTGTGGACCAGCTTCGGTATGTGAATATTGCATTGATCATGGCTGTTTGTTTGGATGATAGACACTTGTTTAGGAAAAGAGAGTTCTCCATGGCCATGACAGCTTGTTGCTAATGAATTGAGAGACCATGGTCAATGGTGGTAGATGGCCTATTTTGATCATATCAGAGAATATTGTGTGATTTTCGGGGAATGGGTCGTATTCAGAGCATATAAGTAGTTGGAGGAGGGTGCGGAAGGTATCTTTAGTGATTTGGACAGTGGAGTTGGCTATTGTGGCTTTGAGAGTAGGAATGGGGTCATTGGTGGTGTGCATGGTTCCCCAGAGCTGACGTAGATAGATTTTTTATGCTTTGACTGAAAGGGTGAGTTCTGGCCATAATGGGTGTCCTCTGAGTATTGAAATCGTCACTTTGTCTTGGCATTTGAGTACGGTGGGGTGCAACACATGATTGTTGTCTTTAATATCTATCCAGCTCTCTTTTGGGTACACTTCCTCCTCAGATAAGAATGTCATTGCCTGATTTGCGCAGATAAACACTTAAGATTGGAAAAATTGATTTTGGGCTTTGACGTAGATAGATTTTTAGGGCCGGAAGTGGACCCCACTCAAATAATCCCAAAAGCATCTACTTGGCTCTCCTAATCACTCTTACTACAGGTATATCTACAATATGTTCTATAGCTTATGTTTTGTTCATCAGGTAGCGCCAAACATTTAATTTTGAGTGGAATGGAAAATCAATAAAGCACAATTAGAAAAACACAAATTTGTATCCAACAGAGTTTGAAATTTATTTAAAAAAAATTAGAAATGCTTAAGGAATTTTCTTAAGCCCAAAATTATTAAAAGTGGAAAGTTTCTCATTCAGCCGTTATCCGTTTTGAGTGTACCACATATCGAATTGTAGCCCTTAACAAGGACAATCCGAAACCACTTTGACCCGACCAAAATCGGAAGTGGACCCCACTCAAATAATTGCCCCAAAATGACCATTTAATGCAATTTTTAAAACATTTTTCCAACACTTTATATACAAAAAAATTAACACACTCTTTCCACAATTATTAAAAGTGGAAAGTTTCTCATTCACCCGTTATCCGTTTTGAGTGTACCACATATCGAGTTGTAGCCCTTAACAAGGACAATCCGAAACCACTTTGACCAGACCAAAATCGGAAGTGGACCCCACTCAAATAATTGCCCCAAAATGACCATTTAATGCAATTTTTAAAACATTTTTCCAACACTTTATATACAAAAAAATTAACTCACTCTAAACTAGAAACTTTTTCTTGAAAAATATCCTAGACATCATGGTAAAGGTTTCATCACTAAAGTAGGCTTAACAATACGCCTATTATTATCATGTTATTTAAGAAAATAATATCTCAACTCCTTTGTTACAATGATGATCTTCTCCTCAAAATACTTCTTCAGTTCGATGTCAATCTTTTTATAAGGTTTAATGTATTAAGAAAAGACATGATAAATTAAAAGTCGTGCATCACACCCCATTTTACATAAATATTAGTATATCAAATTACCAAATGTTGAATGTTTGGTAAAAAAATATCATGCTTACCATTGAACGTTAGAAAATATCCAATCTTTATTATGTGAAATTAAATAAGCTAAAAGTGGTAATGTGTAATGTATCATGTCATGTATGTAATGTGTATCACCACCTGTATAAAAGCAATTGTAGTGCAACAATTTCTCTAAAAAACAAGACACTTAACGATTGACAAGATGGTGCAGTTTCCCAAAAGCATCTACTTGGCTCTCCTAATCACTCTTACTACAGGTATATCTACAATATGTTCTATAGCTTATGTTTTGTTCATCAGGTAGCGCCAAACATTTAACTTTGAGTGGAATGGAAAATCAATAAAGCACAATTAGAAAAACACAAATTTGTATCCAACAGAGTTTGAAATTTATTTAAAAAAAATTAGAAATGCTTAAGGAATTTTCTTTCATTACAAAACCTGTTAGGTGTACTAAAATATGAGAATGATATATAAGCTAGAAAATGAAAAATCAGTACTCGAAGTATATTATATGGATCTTGTAATACATATTTATTTTAGAACAATGATATTTGTATCGCACGTTTGGTAAGAATTTAATAGACATTTATTTAAATAAAAATTGTGTCCCACTGAACAAATTGTATTCCACACAAACATTCCGCATGCAAATGTGTCGGTATTTGCAGTTATGTATTCCACACAAACATTCCACACTTTTAGTAATTATGTTGTTCTTCATAGACTAAACTCATATATTTGGTTGCAGTTAACCTTATGCTCCCTGAAAATCTCAATGTAAACGGTGATAAAACTTGCTATGTTGATCCGGTAAATAAAAATCTCCCATGTGAAGGTGCAATTCCGTTGGGGAAAATTTGTATACCCACGTGTATTAAGAAATTTGGACCAGGTTCATCTGGAACGTGTTCATGGGATACACCTGATAAACATTGTCGCTGTTATTATGTAGCACCTACATGCCCTTAATTTATCTTTACAAGCAATTGTAATAATGTACCCACATGCCATTTGGTTGGTTTAGTATTGAAAAGGAAATTTTGTTTTCCCATGGTCGCCAATAATAAAAGGTGTGTGTTATGAATTAGTTCTTATCGAATGTCTTCATGAGAAATTCTCACAAACATTGTGCTTTGTTGTTATTATGGAGCACCTACATGTCCTTAATGTCTTTATGCAAGGAAATTGCTAGAATGTATACACATGGCATTTGGCTTGTTTAGTTATCCAAGAGACTATTTTTGGTCACTTTATCATCTATGATATTATATACTTGTGTTCCGAATTAGTTTCTCTTACAATATTATTTAAATAAGGGTTACCAAGAAAATGTTTCCAACCAAATGAACAACTTCACATTGTAATGAGTGTGCATCGTTACACATTGGAAACCTAATTCGCTTTTGCACGTTTATTTACACCACACTCCTAACCTTCAATCCCCATAGTAGGTGTACACCTTGGTTCACATCCTATTTTCTACTTCCGCATCTCCCAATTGTTCATAAGGATAACAAATACGGGTGAATATATAATCACCTATAACGGGCTAGTTTTGACAACGTCTTATATTTTTCATTGTGTTTTTACAGGTTGGAAGACAAATCTGGGAGGCCATCAATAAAGATATACAAATCGACTTGTCCTTTGCCATCAATCAAGATCGCAATATGATGTTAAGATCTTATAACATCACACTAAGCTTACCATTTTCATAGAGGGGTGTTGAATCATCTTATTAGGAATTCAACATCTTTTACTCTATGTCCGATATAAAGTGATATATATTTCTATACCGAATACCAGCGTTTATTCATCTAGATCTTGATTAAATTTTCAACTCTAGTGGATCATTCAAACGTTTAGATGTTATGGATACGATCGAAGTTGTAGACCTTGAGTACCATTGAAGAGCATGATTTGAATTACTTTTGTCGGGTGCAATACATATTTCAAACTCGTATGTGGTATGATTTATATACAAAAAAAAATTAACTCAGTCTAAACTAGAAACATTTTCTCGAAAAATATCCTAGACATGGTGGTAAAGGTTTCATCACTAAAGTAGGCTTAACAATATGCCTATTATTATCATGTTATTTATGAAAATAATATCTCAACTCCTATGTTACAATGATGATCTTCTCCTCAAAAATACTTTTTTTTTTTTGAAAAAGCAGCGAGTTTTATTCAGATAAAAAAGACCAAGTTTACAAGAGTTCACAAAAGAAAGAAACAAACGGGAAGCTGAATAAACAAAAAGCTAATTCAAAGAGCTAAGGCTGGGCCCATAAGAGCTCTTTGGTCTGCAGCCCAGGAGAACAGTCCAAAAAAAGAGAATGACCCAGTCTGAGATATAAGCTAATCCGTCCAAAGGAATTTGGTCGTTCAGTAGGGTTACCAAACGTAGAGAGAGGGACTGCATTTTTATAAGGTTTAATGTATTAATGAACTGCATTTTTTATTTCTTAAGCAAAGACATGATAAATTAAAAGTCGTGCATCACACCCCATTTTACATAAATATTAGTATATCAAATTACCGAATGTTGAATGTTTGGTAAAAAAAATATCATGCTCATCCATTGAACGTTAGAAAATATCCAATCTTTGTTATGTGAAATTAAATAAGCTAAAAGAGGTAAGTCATAACTCATTGAAATCTTTTATTTATCTATAAAATATGGTAAATGTCCCCCTCTTTTTGTACTCTTTATATGTATCTATTTTTTTATTATTATTAAAATGTAAATTGTTCAGGATTTAAAATGTTTACAACACTAACTTTTGATTTAAGAAAGATGAAAATCAAACATAAACCAAAAGCAGAACAGTAACTAAAGTACACTATCAGAATGATTAAAAGATGATTAACCACAGCCAAATGATTCAGATGAAATTAGGGCACACCGGTCCTTTGGATAACCCGATCCTCACTTCCATGCCATGATGCAGGTTAGATGGACGAACACTCTCAGATTCCTTTGGATCATTCAGGTAGTCCTCAAAACCGAAGTCTTCTAGAGCTCTTGTCATGGCTTCTAAACCCAACATGGAAGAGGGTATTGCTCCAACAGGCCTCTGAAACCTGGAGAGGATCCGGCGTTCCAACTCCATCCTCGTGGGCAAGGCGAAGCCGTAAGTGTTGGCAAGGACCGTCCTCTTCATCTTCTCCTGGCTCGTTTTGTTCTCTTCATATGCGGATTCGAGAGGATGGGACCCGACAAGGTCGCTCTTAACACCATGAAATCCAAATCGGAGTGCGTCGTTTTTCACTCCACCGATTTCGTGCGGGATAGTCTTCGATGCATCCATTGATCTTTCTTGCTTTCTCTTTGCAAAAATATGGTATAAAAAAATGGCATTTACCTCACTGATTTTGGTGGTTTGCCTACCGGGTATAAAAAAACTCATAGAAAGCTTTTGCATGTATGTAATGTGTATCACCACCTGTATAAAAGCGATTTTAGTGCAACAAATCCTATGAAGAACAAGACACTTAACGATTGACAAGATGGTGTAGTTTCCAAAAAGCATCTGCTTGGCTCTCCTAATCACTCTTACTACAGGTATATCTACAATATGTTCTATAGCTTATGTTTTGTTCATGAGATAGCGCCAAACATGTAACTTGAATGGAATGGAAAATCAATAAAGCACAATTAGAAAAACACAAATTTGTATCCAACAGAGTTTGAAATTTGTTTAAAAATATATAGAAATGCTTAAGGAATTTTCTTTCATTATAAAACCTGTTAGGGTGTACTAGAATATTAGAATGATTTATAAGCTAGAAAATGAAAAATCAGTACACAAAGTATATTATATGGATGTTGTAATACATATTTATGATAGAACAATGATATTTGTATCGTACTTTTGATAATAATTTAATAGACATTTATTAAAAATATTTTTTTCGTGTCCCATTGAAAAAATTGTATTCCACACAAACATTCTGCATGCAAATGTGTTGGTATTTCTAATATCTAGTTAGTAATTATGTTGTTCTTAATATACTAAACTGATAAATTTGTTTGTAGTTAACCTGAAAATCTATATGTAAACGGTGATAAAACTTGCTATGTTGATCCGGTAAATAAACATATCCCGTGTGAAGGTGCAGTTCCATTGGGGCAAATTTGTATACCCACGTGTATTAAGAAATTTGGACCAGGTTCATCTGGAACGTGTTCATGGGATACTCCTGAGAAACATTGTCGTTGTTATTATGTAGCACCTACATGCCCTTAATTTTTCTATATAAGCAAGTGTAATGATGTACCCACATGCCATTTGGTTGGTTTTGTTATAACAAGAAAGTTTTGTTTTCCCATTGTCGCAAATGATAATAGGTGTGTATTATGAATTAGTTCATATCGAATGTGTTCATTACATATTCTCACAAACATTGTACTTTGTTGTTATTATGTAGCACCTACATGTCCTTAATGTCTTTGTGCAAGGAAATTGCTAGAATTAGTTTCTCTTACAATATTATTTAAATAAGGGTTAGCAAGCAAATGTTTCCAACCAAATGAACAACTTCAGATTGTAATGAGTGTGCATCGTTACACATAGGAAACCTAATTCTCTTTTGCACGTTTATGCACAACCACTCCTAACTTTCAATCCCCGGTGTACACTTTGGTTCATATCCCATTTTCTACTTCGCATCTTCCATTTGTTCATAAGGACATCTTATAATTTTAATTGTGTTTCTACTGGTTGGTAGAAAAAATATGGGAGGCGATCGATAAACATATACAAATCGACTTGTCCTTTGCCAATGAGCGCAATATGATGTTAAGATCCTATAACATCACACTAAGCTTTCAATTGTCATAGGGGGATGTGGAACAATCTTATTAGGAATTCAACACCATTTACTCTATGTCCGTAGATCATCATTCATTTAAATGGAATACCATTTAAGAATAAGACACCACTCATGTAGGATATAAAGTCATATATATTTCTATACCGAACACCAGCGTTTATTCATCTAGATCTTGATTAAATTTGACTTACCTCTTTTAGCTTATTTAATTTCACATAACAAAGATTGGATATTTTCTAACGTTCAATGGATGAGCATGATATTTTTTTTACCAAACATTCAACATTCGGTAATTTGATATACTAATATTTATGTAAAATGGGGTGTGATGCACGACTTTTAATTTATCATGTCTTTGCTTAAGAAATAAAAAATGCAGTTCATTAATACATTAAACCTTATAAAAATGCAGTCCCTCTCTCTACGTTTGGTAACCCTACTGAACGACCAAAATTCCTTTGGACGGATTAGCTTATATCTCAGACTGGGTCATTCTCTTTTTTTGGACTGTTCTCCTGGGCTGCAGACCAAAGAGCTCTTATGGGCCCAGCCTTAGCTCTTTGAATTAGCTTTTTGTTTATTCAGCTTCCCGTTTGTTTCTTTCTTTTGTGAACTCTTGTAAACTTGGTCTTTTTTATCAGAATAAAACTCGCTGCTTTTTCAAAAAAAAAAGAAGTATTTTTGAGGAGAAGATCATCATTGTAACATAGGAGTTGAGATATTATTTTCATAAATAACATGATAATAATAGGCATATTGTTAAGCGTACTTTAGTGATGAAACCTTTACCACCATGTCTAGGATATTTTTCGAGAAAATGTTTCTAGTTTAGACTGAGTTAATTTTTTTTTTTGTATATAAATCATACCACATACGAGTTTGAAATATGTATTGCACCCGACAAAAGTAATTCAAATCATGCTCTTCAATGGTACTCAAGGTCTACAACTTCGATCGTATCCATAACATCTAAACGTTTGAATGATCCACTAGAGTTGAAAATTTAATCAAGATCTAGATGAATAAACGCTGGTATTCGGTATAGAAATATATATCACTTTATATCGGACATAGAGTAAAAGATGTTGAATTCCTAATAAGATGATTCAACACCCCTCTATGAAAATGGTAAGCTTAGTGTGATGTTATAAGATCTTAACATCATATTGCGATCATTGGCAAAGGACAAGTCGATTTGTATATCTTTATTGATGGCCTCCCAGATTTGTCTTCCAACCTGTAAAAACACAATGAAAAATATAAGACGTTGTCAAAACTAGCCCGTTATAGGTGATTATATATTCACCCGTATTTGTTATCCTTATGAACAATTGGGAGATGCGGAAGTAGAAAATAGGATGTGAACCAAGGTGTACACCTACTATGGGGATTGAAGGTTAGGAGTGTGGTGTAAATAAACGTGCAAAAGCGAATTAGGTTTCCAATGTGTAACGATGCACACTCATTACAATGTGAAGTTGTTCATTTGGTTGGAAACATTTTCTTGGTAACCCTTATTTAAATAATATTGTAAGAGAAACTAATTCGGAACACAAGTATATAATATCATAGATGATAAAGTGACCAAAAATAGTCTCTTGGATAACTAAACAAGCCAAATGCCATGTGTATACATTCTAGCAATTTCCTTGCACAAAGACATTAAGGACATGTAGGTGCTCCATAATAACAACAAAGCACAATGTTTGTGAGAATTTCTCATGAAGACATTCGATAAGAACTAATTCATAACACACACCTTTTATTATTGGCGACAATGGGAAAACAAAATTTCCTTTTCAATACTAAACCAACCAAATGGCATGTGGGTACATTATTACAATTGCTTGTAAAGATAAATTAAGGGCATGTAGGTGCTACATAATAACAGTGACAATGTTTATCAGGTGTATCCCATGAACACGTTCCAGATGAACCTGGTCCAAATTTCTTAATACACGTGGGTATACAAATTTTCCCCAACGGAATTGCACCTTCACATGGGAGATTTTTATTTACCGGATCAACATAGCAAGTTTTATCACCGTTTACATTGAGATTTTCAGGGAGCATAAGGTTAACTGCAACCAAATATATGAGTTTAGTCTATGAAGAACAACATAATTACTAAAAGTGTGGAATGTTTGTGTGGAATACATAACTGCAAATACCGACACATTTGCATGCGGAATGTTTGTGTGGAATACAATTTGTTCAGTGGGACACAATTTTTTTTTAAACAAATGTCTATTAAATTCTTACCAAACGTGCGATACAAATATCATTGTTTTAAAATAAATATGTATTACAAGATCCATATAATATACTTCGAGTACTGATTTTTCATTTTCTAGCTTATATATCATTCTCATATTTTAGTACACCTAACAGGTTTTGTAATGAAAGAAAATTCCTTAAGCATTTCTAATTTTTTTTAAATAAATTTCAAACTCTGTTGGATACAAATTTGTGTTTTTCTAATTGTGCTTTATTGATTTTCCATTCCACTCAAAATTTAATGTTTGGCGCTACCTGATGAACAAAACATAAGCTATAGAACATATTGTAGATATACATGTAATAAGAGTGATTAGGAGAGCCAAGTAGATGCTTTTGGGAAACTGCACCATCTTGTCAATCGTTAAGTGTCTTGTTTTTTAGAGAAATTGTTGCACTACAATTGCTTTTATACAGGTGGTGATACACATTACATACATGACATGATACATTACACATTACCACTTTTAGCTTATTTAATTTCACATAATAAAGATTGGATATTTTCTAACGTTCAATGGTAAGCATGATATTTTTTTACCAAACATTCAACATTTGGTAATTTGATATACTAATATTTATGTAAAATGGGGTGTGATGCACGACTTTTAATTTATCATGTCTTTTCTTAATACATTAAACCTTATAAAAAGATTGACATCGAACTGAAGAAGTATTTTGAGGAGAAGATCATCATTGTAACAAAGGAGTTGAGATATTATTTTCTTAAATAACATGATAATAATAGGCGTATTGTTAAGCCTACTTTAGTGATGAAACTTTTACCACGATGTCTAGGATATTTTTCAAGAAAAAGTTTCTAGTTTAGAGTGAGTTAATTTTTTTGTATATAAAGTGTTGGAAAAATGTTTTAAAAATTGCATTAAATGGTCATTTTGGGGAAATTATTTGAGTGGGGTCCACTTCCGATTTTGGTCGGGTCAAAGTGGTTTCGGATTGTCCTTGTTAAGGGCTACAATTCGATATGTGGTACACTCAAAACGGATAACGGGTGAATGAGAAATTGATTCTCGAAGTTCACTCGTTGAAATGGAAAAACTAGGAAAATGATGGGTTTCTAGTGTGTTTTATACCACACCGGAAAACTCAAGGGATTTTCACCCCCCTTATAAAGGGAAGCCTCTTTTAAGGAGTTAAGATTACTAAAGGTAAAGACTCTCTCTTACGCGCAGGGGGGGCATGCCGATCAAATCCCGAAACGGAG